AATCAGGGGCATGAGACTAATGACCCACGAATGAAGACCAGGATCGAACTTGGGTAATAGGGCACGTAGCGTGGACAAACCATCCACGACTTCTTGGCCAAGCTCATTGTCGGGGTCGTGAATGTCTGCTGGGAGCTCATTGGTGAGGGCATCTCTAAGCGGTCGTTCAACCAGAGATGCAAGGTTGGGAACTTTTTCCAAGAGTGCCGAACCGAACTTCACAGCCAGTTGCTCCAACGCCTCCTTGGCGCCGCGACGCATGATTCTTGCTTCCTTTGCTTCCCTTTCAAATTTCGCTGCATCGGGATGGTCACGGCGGTCTTCTTCTTTGCGGAGGGATAGAATCGATTTCTCCAGGCCTGCATTGTGGTGGAATTCGGGAGTCTCGGACGTATCGACACAGCAGTATTTCACCAGATTACCAATGACCTTATCGACAGGGCCCCGCTTGGTCGCGGTAGTATAGTACTCCACCAGAGTAGCAACTGCAGTAGCAGAGCGTTGTTGAAGTTCTGCATTCTCTTCTTTCTTGATACTGTCCATCATTCCCTTGATGATGTGACTTGGTTTCTTGGGGATGTCATGCATGGCAACTAGAGCGCCCGCTGCGGCAGCGAGGATACGCAGGTCCCTTGCTTCGCGGACGCTTCTGGCTTCGTTGATTGCACTCTCTGCAGTTGCTCTTGTGTCGTTCAGAACCTGAAGAGCTGTGATGCGCTGGGCTGGCGCCAGGCCCTTCTTTAGGCGCTCGAAATCGGGTCCAACAACCTTTTCGGCGTCCGCCAGCGAGAAGGCACTCGGGCCAGCTTCGGCGTCACCTTGGACAATGACAGCTAGAACGGGCAACCTCGAACCAGGAACATGAGCGTGGTCCCGGAAGGCATTGAGCAATGAGTGACATTGTGCACGTGCAACATGAAGATAGCATGCTATGTCGCCGTACCATGATGGACGATCCCCTTCGATAATTGGGCGCAACTGTTCACACAGTACAGAAGCATATGGGCTGTCAGATCCTGCAATTCTAGCATATTCCTCTATAATCATAGCGGTTGACAGCTGGGAAGTGGATGCCGAGTGGTTAAGGCCGTGCATAATAGGCTGCCAGAGGTTTGGAAGCCCGTTCTTATCCCAATGAGAGAGCAATTGACCAAGAGCCTTTGCAGCATAGATCTTGGACCGCAGCATGGTGTCCGTACCTACCAAGTCGATATCACCCTGCAGCATATGGCCATCGACATTGTGAGCCGAAGGCGGGGGCACTTCTTTCTTCTCTGCCTTGCGACCCCTCTTCTTGGTCGCATCGGAGGTGTTGTTAAAGGCACTGGGTGAGGACTTTGCCGGTGCAGCTGCGCTCATTGGGAACGGTACACCGGACGGCTTGATAAAGAGGGAGGCATTCATGGGGATGGGATAGCGAGGAACGCCGAAAGGAGCCATACTCAAGGTAATGAGAGGCTGGATGTGAGATAACAGTTCGGCCTCTGATTTGAAGGACCCATGCTTGTCGAGCGCTTTGAGCAGTTCTGACCAGACTTGGAGAGACAATTTCAGAACACTCTCGTTTCGCTCCACCAGCAAATTCTGGAAAATCAAGCGGAGCGCTTTGCCATTGACCCATTCGTTGGTGCCATCTCCTTCTAGCTGCAAAAATGTGATAAGAGCCCGGAGCACGGCCGAGCGCACACTGGTAATTGTATGTCGCAGGAAAGGATAGAGGCGAGGAACAAGATTGCCAAATGATGACTCGGGGTCCACAGCTGCATTCGCTTTCATAGCATCAAGGACTTCACGGAACGTGCAGAGCTTCGCTAGAAGGTCCATCACCGAGCCAGTACTGGCGCTGAGATCATCTTGGAGATTGGAAAGGCATTCCCAAACGATGTTCATCAAAGTGCCGAGCGTGCTCTGCCGAGAAGTCACGAATTCCTCTGCAATAGGAACAAGTGTTGCTGCACTCACTGCACGAACATCGTCATCGTAATCACCCAGGCCCTTCATGACTGCCTCCAGGACCCCGTCCATGAGCTTTGCATCCTTGACAAGCAAGTCTTTGCGGACTGCCACTAAATACCTGAGACCGATCATACCACCATGGCAAACTTCCCAAATAGGGCGGTCTAGTCCTAAGTCAATTTGCATGATGATCCGGTATAGGCATCTATAGACGGCGATGACGGAGCGGGATGGGAGCTGAGACAAGAGAGCACCTAATGTTTGACCTACAGTCTCTCGAATGGGGGCGACAACGTTGTCAGAGATGTAGTCGCCGAAACGGTCAAGCATGAGCACGCAAAGAAGGCGACATGCAAGATCATCCAGCCATTTGCGATTCAAGGTGTCGTTTTCAGATCTGCTCTTCCCTCGCAAGCGCCCGGCACCGGCACCTTGAACGCGAATGACCTCTCGCAGGGCCATCGCAGCTCCATGTCGGACTTCCCAATTTGGATCAAACAGATCGACCATGAGAAAATCACACATTGGTTCATAGGGCCATGCGATGCTGGGGCCTTCGTCGGAGGTCTCAGGCTGTATTAGAGGTTTTTCTGGGGCAGCCTCTCCTTTAAATTCGGAGACGATCTTCGAGTCATCATCGCCAGCAGGTCGTTCAAGAGAGAAGTAGTCTGATTTCGAGTCGCCGTTCCGCTCTTCTCCATTCTCTGCTTTAATAGGGTGCGGAGTCGTCACTGACGGTGTCGTGACGTCGGACGTCTTCCGCGCAGAGAGGTCGACGACGCGCACTTTATTGGCACCCATCTTCGCACTCTGTTTATTTTTTCGTTTCAGCTGATTCAGTTGCCGCTTGCTCAGTCCGGACTCCTCTCCGTTAGCAGGCTCACTTGGTGTGGTCACAGAAGCAGAAAGTTGGTGGCTGTTCTCTCGGGAAGCAGCCATGTGAGAAGATGGATCCTCCTTGATAGCCGGGGTCTTCAGGGCTAAGTCAGTGTCATCGATCAGGTCTTCCTCGATATACTCCCCTGCAAGGCCCAATCGGGAGGTCAATGTTTTCTTCTGATGCTGCAGCCGAGATATGGGATCCATGGCGGCCAAAGAGTATTCATATTCTTTACCAGCACTCCCTAGTAGCCTTTTTCCGTACTTTAAAATCGAGGTTAGATCCAGACGTTCTAACTGAAGAAGTTCATCCGACGGTGATAGTTGGGCCTCTTCAGATTTAATTTCTACCGCTAGGTCGTCATCCTCGTCGGTCTTTTTGATCCCTAGGCCATCCTCTTCATTGGGGTCAAAGATGTCGGCATTTGTTACAATGAGCCCGATCGCCCTGGCGGCAGCTGTTCTGGTATCCCATGATTTCGACTTGAGATATGGGAGGATACGCCCCAGTAAGTTGAATAGCTCATCTGGATGTTGTTTCTGGACATCTGCCAGTTGTTGGGCGGCAGTGTTCCGAATGAGAGGCGTACTGCCCGTCTCAAGCAAGCTGTGAGAGTGGTTAGCATCGACCCTGTCAGTATGAGAACGGTCAAGTATGGTGATACTCACGTGACCAAGCGATCCAACCTGTCCCGAGATGGTTAGCGTGCGAAACTAAATATGACAGGGCTGGGCAGTTAAAACTTACCTGGAGGTCATGGCGGGCAATCACCTCTTCACAGAGGGGGTGGTGGGGATGAAAGGATGATTGAGGTGTATTAAATAAAACGGTCGATCGTGAGTGAATAAAAATTGAAAGAATAAAAAAAAGAATAAAAAAAAAGAAGTTGCCAAGCCCAAAGAGTTCCGGTGACGCCTCAGATATTATAATGGGGGAATCCTTCCAGTATGCAGATGGTCTTAGTCAGGTAGGTAAGGAATGTAAAGTATACCGAACCGTTACACCCACGTCACAGCCATTTGACGAATGGAACTAAAAGGGACGACAGAGAGGGAACTTGAATAAAACACAAAATAAGTCGATGTAGGACGATCGATCCGACAGAGTGGAGAATTAAGGTAAACCTGACGAAAAACAAAAATAACAGAAACTAGATGAAGGGAGTTTCACACTATTAAGTCGATCATCTGTGAGGCCCGAAGGTATTAAGACCATAAAGAAACTTTTGAGCATCAAGACAGCAGAAAAAATACAAATAAAAAATAAAATAAAAATAAAACCACACGGGGGGGAAAAAATAATAATAATAAATATTAATCCCAAAAGTGGAGAGGGAAGATGACGGGCACGTCGTCGGTGGTAAAAGAGCCGATATTAAAGTATGGGCCAGTCAAGCTCCCAGGTAAGTAAGTAAGTAGGTATCAACAAGTCGTCCCGTCGTGCTTTCGTTTTTCCCCCTCGAGGTCACGCAGCCTGTTTATATCATTGGGGGCATCTTTGCCTGGGCGCGCCTACCCATGCTTGGGCCCTGCACTAGGCCCAACCCGGCTTAGCCGCCCCACTCCCGTAAAGGTTTTCGTTATGGTCACGTGACCCTCCCTGCGCCAACCTCACGATCGACGGCCGCGAAATTGCTGCCAATGTCCATCATGATGAGACTCGCGGCCGAAGTGATCCGTGGGTTTAGCTGCAGGTACCACTATATCCTTAATTCTACCACCAGAACCAGTAAGTTGATCCCGGAGATCTATCGCGACGGACAGGACCTTCCTTGGTTCCCCATGAGTAGTGATCCATAAGCTTCAAGTGTCGATTTCCCCCAAAACATGCCAAGAAATGCCAGATAGTCTCGTCGTAAAGGAAGGGGATTCTTTGTCCACTCACACACGTTGACCGAGGGACGGCCCTAATACAATTCCTTGTCCCATGCGCAAGCCTTCCCACGCGGTGGTGACCCTCCAATGTCTGCCTCAGGCGATGACCGAGACACGTTGCTCGATTCTCCAATCAAACGGCACCTAATTTAGTTTATATATAATCCGCGGAGTATTTACTTTCCATAGCACAGCACTTGACTTGACATCTTCACACAGCCCTCCTCGTCGTAATATTCCACCACAAACTACCATACGATAACTGACGTAGGTCTTTCTTGCTACTTTTTATCTATGGAAATCGAGTCGACATAGTGAAATAAATAGTAGCAGTCAAAGCGATCTTCGTGTCGTCCCGGAACACGGGGTTGCGGTGATTCGCAGCATTCCTAGCAGACATCACACACTGCGATGATCGTCGAAACGGCGCGCATCAAATAGACTTGTCCATTTCTATACACTGAGGGACTCCAAGTAGGAAATAACAACACGACATTGGTGGTGGTAGTAAAAACAACGAAAACAGAACCGCACCCCTAGTGTGCACAAAATCCCCTTAAGCCTTCGTTAGAAAAGCCGATGCCTCTTCTTCCTTCCCTAGCAGCCCCAAACTGCGAATCTGCTCGGCCTTGGGCGCGTTCTCCCGGGGGTGTGCGGCTTCGGCCTTCCGGTAGGCGGCCTGCATCTTCATTGTTCGCAAAGCCTGGAGGTCCATGGTGTCAGAATATAGCAGAACCACATATAAAACAACCAGGACAGTCGACTGCGTCTTGGATTGACGGGCGAGGAGCCATTGTGCAAGGGCGAGACCCTACCTCTTTTCTGTGGTGCAGGCACTCGTAGTAATCCTCCAAAGCGGGCATACACTTCTTCTTGCCGGTTTCACCGTCGCCGGCGTTGACAACGTAGCAGCCGAGGACCTCCTGCCAGAAGTTGTAGCAGCGGGAGGGACCTGTGGGAGAACGCAAGTATTAGCCGGGGACGTCCATCGAAGAAACGTATCGCGACCGAGCACCACGAAATCGTAATCAATTGTGACAGCAATCCCCCCTCAGACGCTAGACAATGAGCACATACCGCCATTGAGACCAAAACCCGAAGCCATTGTGTGTTTGGTGGTAGATGAGAGGAGGGGAAACGAGTGGGCACAGCGTGTAGGAGCGGAGGTCAGGATGCGATGAGGTTCTTCCGGTCGATTCGCCGCTTTCCGCCCAAGTTGGTCCGAGCGTCAGCGTTTGACGTCTTTAGTATTGCTCCCGACCACATCACCCTCTTTATTTTCCCCCATTCCCCGGCGAAAGAGCCGCTGATTGACGCATGGCGATTTCTGGTCGACGATCCGGTGCTCATGCGATTCTTCTAGCCACCCATCTTTGTGTTACTGGGAATGTCTCCCGCTTACCACAGCTACACGCCCAGTTTCCAGCCTACCTTCCTCTTGACCGGATACTTCGCATCATCTTGACCTTTCTGCCGGAAAGCACAGCGCCCCAGTCTTACACGCCAGTCCTTCAGGAGCTTTTAGATGGCCATTCATCGCAACCAGACGGTGACGATATCGATGTTTCCCCAGTCGACAATTTCTCGGAGGCTGCTGCCAAGAAACGAGTACGGACGCTTCGTTTACTCCCACTAAAGTACCACGACGACGAAGACAGTCAAGATCCAGCCGACCTTTTAACTCAATTCCTCATACATCGGGCATACCGTATAGATCTGGAAACTGCCCTTCAACCCCTTATACTTGAACTTCTTTTACCGTTCTACCAGCGCTTACCGACCGTGCGGACATGGTTAATCTCTAGCTTACTACCGCTGCTCCGACTTAACTACGAATACTATCCCAGTCAGGATGAAACATTCTCTCTGGATGTTTTAGAGACGATGGACAGCCACACCGCGATCAATGTACTTCTCTCGATGACGGGCGCTCAGAAGAACAGCATGGATCTAGTGAACAACTTACGCGGACTACTTGGCCCGTGGATGTACGGGAGTAACCGATCGAAAAGGCGTAGACTCAATCAGGCTGCGGAGGCCAATTCCATCTCTCTTCCTCAGGTTAACACCCAACAGCATGATAAGAATACCTCCGGATGGCAATACGTGAACGAATGGCTGCTGGCGCGCAGTCTAGTAGATCATGAGAGCACTGTGAATGCATTCCTTAATTGGAATGGTCCAGAGGATGTGGACCTTGGAGGCTTTGAGGAAGAAGACCAAAAATATGACCGCGATGTGTCGAAGGACCTGAATCTTCGATATGGTCAATCAGGGCTTGCCGTTATCTACACAACTTCCGATACAAGCAAGTCTTGTCTGGAAGGCTCAGTCAAAGTTCTGACTCGGGTTGCTGAGCTGTTGAGCCTTGAGGATCACTTATTTATCTCACCTAACAGCTCGGTATTTCCCTCGGTGACGTTTGATGCATCTCAAATCTCTTCGTCATCGAGGGTGTCCCTTCTGCAGAACGCTTTGTTGGTGGCATCAAATCCACTAACATACCCTTCCGCCTCCTCTATATCGTTCCTCAGCGCTATTCTCCTCTCCATCAAGACGTTGGCCGAACTCGGACATCCGATTACATGCAGGACAGCTGCCAATATCTGCCTTCATAGTAACCAAGATACGCAAGTACAAGAATTGCGGAACATTGTCTCATCTATTGTAAGACAAACAAAACTTAGCCATGACTGGCGGGACGTTCGCCAGCAGATTCTCTGGCTGCAGCATTGGGGATCAGACAAAATAGAAGGAAATGAAAGCAATTTACCCTGTCATGGCCTCTTTTGGAGGGTCTCACGAGATGTGGTAGAGGCAGAGATCTTGAAGGCATTGCTAGAGTTCAAAGGTAAGCAAACACTATCCCATCTTTCATAATGTGGGGACTAATCAGTGTAGAATACAACTTGGCCGTTGATATCTATATAAATTCCAAAACTGCCCTTAGCTCAGCCCAAGTCGAAGAAGCCGTCAAGGAGGCCATTTTCACCACTTACGATAACGCTAGCAATGGAAACAGAACTAGGGGAGGCATGAAGCGAGCGTACGACATGTAAGACTTGATCCAAATGAGCGTCAGATCGACCAAGGAGCTAACTATTATCCGCAGCTTGCAAGCCTTCCAGCCACACTTTCCAGAGTCCGTCTCCTTCAAAGAGATTCGTGCCCTCATATCAGCAACACATGCTCTATCTTTCTACTCCCTAACTCTGCAACATGGTGTTCCCTTTCAACCTGTCAGTATCCGTGTGCACCCCGATCCTATTTCCTTGATCGAGAAAGTGCTTGATCAAAACTCAAAGGCCTATACGAAGGTCGATGATCTTCTTGCGATCGGAAGAAATCTGGTCGCGGCTGGTTTTTCCACTCGCCTCTCCGATAGCGACGACCTAGATCTTCCGTCTACTTCCGAGGAGGATGCCGTCGTCACAGCTGAGCGACGTATTATGTCACTCGCAATTTCATCAGCTCTCTCTTCCAATGATTTCGGTACCGCATATTCTTACATCCTCACGCGTCTCACTCCTCCATCTCTCCTATCCACCTCCTCGCCCCTTACAAACCCAGCCGTAAGGGATGACATTTCCTGGCGTGCTGTCTACAATGCTGGCCGGTACCGCGATCCTACGCTATCCTCATCTGCCAACCTCCAAGCCCAAATAACCCAACTCTCCCAGCGAATGGAACTTCTTTCTCTTGCCCTGATCCTCGTCCCCTCTCCCGACCCACTGCCTGAGATCCTCGGCGCCTGGCGACGGTGCGATGAGGAGATGAACGGCCTTCGCACGCGCGAAGCCGAAGAGGAAGAAGTATGGGACACCAAGGGGGACAACCTCTCATCAGTCCCTGGTGGCTTCGGACCAACAGATAGCGAACAGGACGCATACGAAACAAAGAAACAACACGCTCGACGTGCTCGAGCCCATCACGACCGTCTCAACGCCGAAGAAGCCCCCATGGGCCTCTTCGAAGTTGCCCGAGGCGCCGCGCTAGCCCTCCACAAGAACGCATTCCCGCTCAGCGGCAGCGCCGCTACCACCGACCAGCAACCGACGTCATCATCTCACGCTCGCGGGTCCAGCGAGGACTCCGCTGAAGAGAGGGTGCGTAAGCGAGATGTGGTCAGTAACATGGTGACAGGCGGTTTAGTCAGTGGTATCGGATGGGTCTTAGGTGCTCAACCGGTGAATCGCTAAACCATACGCACCGAATTTTCATGATGAGTACGATGATGGTTTATCTGGCGGATCCTTCTATAATGCTTCCATTATGTGATATCCTATACAAGCGGCTTTGCGCGGTGTTTCTAGCAATCTATCCTAATTATCAAAATACATATTATCCATATAAAGCAATCATGGACCTAGTGAACAATGACTTCCTGAATATCGAAGCGACCCACATAGAACTTGGATATATTTCAAATATTGGGCCTTTGTATATGAGTGTATATATTTCCGCTAGAGTGCGACCTGCAAAAACAACCAGGACCAAATCTTACGTCAGATTCAGCCCTGAAAACGCTGGCCATGGACTAAGAAATCCTTTTCTTTTTTTCTTATTTGATTATTGTATTCTTCCAAGTAACTCCATCAGCACTAGTTAAGCCCCGTTTCTGACTTGATTGTAGGTAGAAATCAATAGCCCTTTGGGTTAAGTAGACGTTGATTTTGGTCTATTTTTGGCCAGAATGCATGAGGTGAAGCAAGTCCCAGTATATATATATATATATACCTTGTTAGTTGCCTGATTACTTTGGCTACATAGAATAATCGGTGAAAGATCTAATGAATGAGATGGAACAGTTACGACAAAAATGCTGTTGATGATATTCTGCGCGACTTCCTGTATGGATTATAATCTGCCGATATACAGAGGATTGTGTCCATCTCACAGTTGCTATGCTCTTGGATGACAGAATCAAAACAAAATCAATGACAAGCCTATACAATATGTATGTGCTGAAGAAGAGATGAGGCCCGGAGAAAATATGAGATGGTATGAAAATAAAGACAAAACACCTAAATAACAACTTCTCCCATTCGTGTCGCAAGGGAAGCAGCAAGAAAACAAGGGATGAAACCGGGAAGCGTCAGCGCCGCTGACCGCTGGCAGGTTTTGTGCAAAGACCTCGGCTGGCGACAAAATCGAGGTTACGAGGGCGGATACAACTGCCCGTGATAAATGGATCAGCAAAATAAAAGAAAGACATGCATGATCAGGTAAAAAATCAATCCCAACTCCATGAGTCCAGTAACGATAGACGTTGCAATGCGGTAAATGAGCGTCGTCATAATCACAAATCGTATGCTTTTGACAACCTGGTCAACCAACGGCCAGCCACTGGTAAGCGTAAGAAGGGACCGTAAAGATGCGATATATTATGATGGAGAGTAGCAATTAGATGCATGGAGGGAGGTTGTTGCAAAGGAATGAGTGCTGCTGCGGAGAAAGTCTAGTTGTCCCAACCCCACACCTGTCGCACGAAGTTCGCCATGTTGACTTTTTTGTTTTTCATGTCCAGCATCCAAGGATGATCCAGCATCCGCCATGGAGTCGCTCTTCGTGGAGGCTCTTTCTCGAGGCTAGGAAAGTTAGGTTCACCGCGCGGGCAATGCAAACGCAGATGGGGTCACATACCAGCATTCTATAAAGTACTTGAAGCTATCAGACCAGCGAATACCGTTATCCGGCTCATCCTTCAACTTAGGAATCGGTTGGCGAACGATGTATGTAAGGAGGTCGATTAACCCAGCGCGGGGCTGCATTTCGGTTCCATCGGCCGGGAAGGGGAAGCGATGCTGGGCAACTTCAAGTAGCGTTACGCCTAGAGACCAGACGTCCGAAGTAATCGTATAAGATTGACCGGTGATCCGTTCGGGGGCCATGTAATAGGAGGTGCCGATGAACGTATTGGCATCGCCCTTGGTGCCGAACTCTCCACTAACGCCGAAATCACATAGCTTGACCTGTCCGTTGCGGCATAAGAGAATATTGGACGGTTTGATATCTGTGTTCTTGTCAGTGCATGAGTTACATTGATCACTGAGAGTAAATCGAACATACCTCGATGGATAATCTTTCTACTGTGCAGATATGTTAAACCGTTCAATACGCCTTCTGCGACCTTACCCAGCACTTTCTCTCCTGTTCGACCCCCTAGTTTCTTTACTTCTTTGTAGATACTGTCTAGACTGCCCCCCTCACAGAACTCCATCGCGATCGAAATTGTGCCGGTAGACTTGTCCATGAATGCACCGTAATACCGACAGATATGTTCTGACGCACAGTCCTTGTTGAAGTTGAGTTCCCGAACAATCTGTTTTTTCACATCTGGGTTGGGGTCGGTTGTGATAATCTATAACAATCGCACAGTTAGTGATGAGTGGAAATAGAGCATGAAGGTTGAAACCCCCTCTGAAAGAGTAAGAAAGTATATTAAACCCACCTTCAACGCGAAGACGGTCTTTCCTTCCTTGAGCTTGCAACGAGTGACCGCACCTCCTGCACCCTCACCCAGACTGCCCAACTCCACGATCTTCTTCTGTTCACTGGCCGCGAGCCAGCCTTCATCATCCAAATCGTCAACGTCTAGTGGCCTGCCCTTTTCTAAGCTCAGCTTGTCGAGATCTGGAACCAATCCATTTACGCTGTTGTCACGCTCCATCTGCACACCCCCTTCCCGATCGGAGTAAACCGAGCTAATGGCAGAAGATGGATCCGGAGTGCTCCCCTGTGGTTGCCGAAGACCCATGGCGAACGACAACGCCGAGTAGTTTGATGATGAAGCGGATGCCGGGCCACTGGCCTTTCCATCCAAATAGTTGAAGCTACCTGACCGCGAGTGTCCGTTCGGTTCGTTCAACCCACTGGTGGCTAGAGGCGGGGGAGCTGGGCGACCATTGACTTGTTGGATATTCTTACTGCTGCCCATCGGGGTCGCAAGTCGCAGTTGCGGGGGCGCCGGGCGGGTGGACGGGCGCTGGAGCTGTGGCACTTCGGGGGCTAGAGCGGGCGCGGGACGGGCGCGGAGCCGGTATACCGTTACCGGTTACGGGACGAGCGTTGGGTGACGGGGGAATCCCCAAGGTGAGCTTTGGGGGTCGGGGACCATTGCTGTTGTTGCGATTACCCGGCACGGGCGGTTTGAGGAGGGAACCGCGGGTGTCGACATGGCGAGATTGTCTTGCCTCTCCCCGGGCAAGAACAACTCGTTTGGGTCAGCCAAGGTAGCCAGATCGGCGGTATTTGATTTAGACACCTTGAAAGAAAAAAAAGAATGAAGAGTCAAGAGATAGTGAGAGAGAAAGTAACAGGATGATTGGTATAATGAGAAGTTGGACGCTCGGAAGAACGACCGTGGGGCTGAACACGCGGCAAGGCGACTGCGATAAGAGGGGTTGGTTTTCGTTGATCGAGCGACAGAAGAGCGAGTGCGCGAGGAAGAGGAGGGGAAATGTAAGCTGAAGTTCTTTAAATAATGAGAATTGAAATCCAAAGCAAACAAGCGAATGTTTGATTAGACGCGAGACAACAAAGATCTCGACTCCAGGACGAAGAGAAGGTCGTTTAGTATGTAAGATAAGTAGTCGTAGTGGGAGGACCGTAGTCGGAGTCCAGGGAGGAAGAAAAAAAAGGGAAGAAAGGAAGAAAGAAGAGAACAGACGAAGGGATGGAGGATGGAACGCAGATGATGACGGTCGGAAAGCGTTTCAATTAATATGATTATGAGGAGAAGAGCGAGAGTGTGAGCGAAAAAAGCCGGATTGGAGTCAAGGATTCAAATGGGGCCCGTTTGGTCAAGTTGTTAGTCCGTCAGTCAATCACAAAGTGGCTAAAAAAGGCTCGTCGGCGGTTGGACTCAAAGATTGTAACTCTTGACCTTTTTGCACCTTCATTCAGCTAATAATATTCCACGGTTCATCCCTCTCTGGGATTAGTGCCAATCATAAGGCTCCGCCAGTGGAACACTCGGACAGACGATGTTGACTTGACTCGGTGGAACCAGTCGGTTTCAAAAGGCGCCTAAAGACCGTTCTTTATTTGATACTTGGGTCTTGGTGCTTGTTCAGCGGCCCTGCGTTCCCTCAGATGCTATTATTATATGCTATCAACCTTGTTAGTTCAGGGACTGACTCCATTTTGAGCATAGAAGCAATTTTTAGGTCCCAGAGTTCTGTCCGTGTGGTTTGTATCTGAGATCCATCTGTCTGTCGGTTCCCCTTCGTAGCGTGATCTGGTTCCTGAACCCTCAGGCATTTGTTTTTAGGCATCCATGAACAGGCGCCCCAAAAAAGGAAGGAAAGAAAAAAAAGAATCTGTCTACATACCACGGAACCACATTCAATACTGGGTATCTGATCCGAATTTACTCCAGCAGAAACAAAAGAGGAAATGCTGTGTAGAGTCCTGGGTAAAAATAAAAATCAATTAATTAAATTTCCTCTAATCAAAATTTCCTAAATTAACCACAAAAATAGATGCGACTCTTGAGATTCCTCCGCAGTTAGTGTGCAGGAAGAAGCCTGTCGGTTTCTATTTCCGTTCGGTAATAGACTAAATTAAGACCAATCTAGTATCTTTGTGTTCATTTTAGTCTCACTTTCAAACAACTGCATGGCCAATGTTTTACATCACCCCCCACTTTTCTGATGAAATGCTTGTTAACTTGAAATCGTAACCGAACTTGACCAGGAATTTTTATCATTATGATTAGCTTCCAAATTAAGTGACGCACTATCCGGTTCCGAAGAACCATCCATAATAGCTTCACATCAGTATACAATACGTAGTAGTAGTAGTTTTCATGACCTGGTCTACTCAGACGAATCGCATGACTAATAACAGTCTGACTAGTCCAGAGGATGACCAGTACTTTTGCATCGAAGATACCTCACAGGAGAAATTGAACGCGTCAGCCAATGTACGGAGCAGACGCATAGACCTCTCCTCTGTGAGCCAAGAGCACGTGCTTCATGTCGGCAGATGATCGATTAAATGCATACTTCTGCATATCCATCAATATCCAAGCTTTCAGCCCTGTGACGGTGAGCTTGTTCAAGACCAACTCAACTCCAGACTTATCCACTGAATCTGACATCATATAGCCACTATTAGCTCATGCCCAAGCTCCCGTACGCCACAATGACCGAGAGAGACGGGAAAAGCACGGAAGCACTGGACAATATGGCAATAAGACTGATTCGTCGTGCATCTCGAGTCCGACCCACCACCATGCTTAAAATAGCCTTTCCCCATAAGTGCACCGCCATACAAGATGGAGAAGCGTCATAATAATAGCAGTGACGCTGAATTGGAAGTAGTTCATAGCATCCGTGCAGGCCCCGAGGAAAAATCATGGTCCGGTGATGATGTAAAGGGACTTATCGTAATCGTATTCTGGTCAATATCGGTCATAACACCACCATTATCGCGGAATTCCATATGTTGCCTCGTTTAGACAATTCACGAACTAACTCAATGCGTCTGAGTGGGGTCTGCTCCGGTTATCGTCTCTATTACATTGCCATGTTCTCTACATTTTTGTTGGTCATCGTTAGAGAGAAGACATTATAAACACGACAAGTACAAACGAGAAAATGCGTCCAAAGCAGAAAGAACCCCTCTTGGTAGACGCGCGGCGATGGACGATCCTCAACAAGAAAACCCCACCGGATCACCCGGTTTCCTGTGATGATGGGAAACAATGAGCGGGAAACGGCGACTCGGGCACCGACTTAGCACCGCTGTCTGTTCGTGCGCTTCTCTGTGCGGCGTGCGCATCGTCTCGGGCACTGACTATGGGGTTTCCAATCTATATGATACATAGCACTCATTTAATTCTGCTCGTCATGCTCCACGAACCTTCGGGGTTCAAGGACGAGATTAGGAGACGTGAGACTCGCAACTTGAAAACCGGGGTAGCGGCTTGGAAGCCATGGCTGTCCGAACTGTCTACGCCCGGGGTAGAACGCGCGTATCGAGAGTGCGGACTGCCGTGAATCATTGAACCTTTCCCCTGTTGATCGGTGGAGCCCTGAACCCAATTAACCGCCTTATGTTGTGCGAACGGGTGAACACACCAATATGTTTTCTCCAAACCCGTCCATAGAGTCTGCGCAATCTTTGAGGATTGATTCTTCTCGGTTACCTGGCTGCAACGGGATTATGCCAGATGATATCCTTCCGTTGAGAGATTGACAATCAACCTATCACTGGTTCTAGTTTCGAGCAGGCCCCCCCCTGAACTGTGGACATTCTGCAGAAAGATGAACACCCCTTTCTTTAACGATTATCCAGAAGACAGGAGTCCTAAAAAAGAAGCTCATGAACTCCCTGGGTGGTTTGTACCCACAAAATATTCCGGAGAAGGTTCGGAGTGCAATAGGTTTTTCAATAGTTTGATAACTCTACCAGACTCTATTCCTTGTCGACAATCATGTCTCAGCGTTCTCAGGCCCAGAAGGCTTCTCATAGCTTATGTCTAGGTTTTGATGGCGCAATCACTCCAATTCTAGGTGCCGAGAGAAAACCAAATTGTGTCTCGCGTGAACATATGGGATCCTCTCGAACCACGACTAATCGATTCGGTACTATAAAAAAAGTTCCTATTATTGCTATGATTGACATTATACAACGCGAATATCGACTAGCTAGGCGAGGCCCGACCAGGGGTGTAGGTAAACAAATCCTTGTATAACCGAGTGCACAACACTCTCTTTCACTCCTTGGCAGTCTTAGCATTTAATAAGCAATTAATGACGCTGCCCAGGGTTGTAAACGAATCATAGTACGACTAACTGCCCTCTGTCACTGGCTGCAACGCTCTCCTTCCCTTTTTGGCAGTCCTTAGCGTTTAATAAGCAATTAATGACGCCGGCCAGGGTCTAGTCAAGCAAAATCAGCCAAGCTTCCTTCATGTAATTAACAGGGCTGAGTAGATACATCGGCTGCGTTTCTAGACCGTCGACAAGGACAGGGATGAGATGAAGAATCTGCACTCGGAGAAACACGATCGTGTGGCGAGAACAATGGATGTCGGTCCCCTGTTCGGAGATTTTACATGTGCGTGATCCTTGAGGATTGCGAACGGAACCGGCCGTCAGCACTTTGTACATGCAGTCAGGGCACCATTGGTCAAATGATACTAAAAAATTGATTGGAACCCTGTTTCCTGAGTCTTGTGACTTTGATGGATAACGGATATAGACTCTTTCCGCATAGTTGATGGTTACAAAAAGAATCGAAAATTTTCTTCTCAAAAATTGATCATTTCTGTAGCAACTTACTAAGTTACTACCTCACATTGAGAAAAAATAATCGAGATAAAAATGGTACGTAGCAGAGACAGGGGTTAGTGGGGCGGACCCACTGGGACTTGGGCCTTGAATATTCAAGTCATTGGCCCATGAGTGGAGCCCAAGAGCCACAGCGGGCTGTTGGCGACTTGAAGAAGTGGAGCCTGGAGTCAGGAACGGATCTCTGTACGGGACCCTGATTGGCTTGACCCGAAACCTGAAACATCTATCGGGAGTTGTTCAACGTCCTTGTGGCTTGGCCGATGAAAATACCCTTCCCCTGAAATTGCCCCAGGATGCATGGATGTATCACGCAAGGATTGTTTGGGCGCAGGGCTAATTTCCGGACGGGGGGTTTTTGGGTTCCATGCCGCTAGCGGGATTGGATGTTACAATGACAATTGTGTAACGGCAACACAATCTCGGAATCCCGAGTCTTTCATATTCTACGTTCTACTAGTACAGAGGAGGAGGGTTTATGTGTCTGGGATAAAAATACTCGGGTATTACAGTCCAGTAAATAGTTTATGATGATCTTTTGCCATTCGTGAGTATAACTGAATCCAGTAAGTGAGCGACAGATCATCGGTGCGCTGAACTGAACCCAAGCAGTGGAAAGCATTGACTGGAACCCAGCTGTGGCAGCGAAGCTAATCACAAAACTAGTCCATTACTAGTTCACTAGTAGTGGTTCTTTGCGACGGCCACATCCGCCAACCATGGTGCGTCAAGCCGCCATCCCACGAGCCCCATGAGGATGGCGGCCCCATTCACTCATCTATTGGGTTTAGTCGAGGGTGTCTTGTTTCTCCTGGAGAGAAACACACCGCATTACCGTTCACCAATTGATAGAGTAACGCCAGCATCTGCAGCGCTCTCCACCCGCCTGCAGTCCCCCTCTCCCCTTTTCGTCCCTGAGACGATCTCCAGGTTAATCTCCCGGTTCATACAAAGCCTCCAGACTCCCCCGTCCGTTCCTTCGTTTTGTTTCAATCCGTTCCTTCTCTCAAGTCCAAACTTCCTGCTTGAAGCATATCAACTTTTTGACTTCGGTCAGCCATTCTTTTTACCAACCAACTATCCACACTCTCTTTTTAGCCCACCGCTAAACAACACCAATCAATCAACCTTGACGGTTAGATTTCTCTCGTACAAACAAAAACCTACAGTCAACATGCGTTTCTCTGCTGCCACCGTTGCTCTCTTCGCCGGCCTTGTTGCCGCCCTCCCTAACGGCGAGGTCCACACTGTCTACCAGACTGAGGATGTGACCATCACCTCTTGCGCTCCCACCGTCACCGACTGCCCCGGCCGTCAGACCTCCACCCCTGAGGGTGTTGAGCCGATCGCCACTCCCACTGGTATCACCACTGAGGAGACCCCCGTTGCCCAGACCTCCTCTGCTGAGGTTCCTCCCGTTGAGGAGACCACCCCCGCTGTTCCTCCTGCCGTCCCTACCAGCAGCTCCCCTGTTATCCCCTCTCAGGGCCCCAGCAGCAGCGGCAGCGTCCCCGCTGTTCCTTCCAGCAGCAGCCCCGTCATCCCTCAGCCTCCTCAGCAGCCTAGCCAGGGCACCACCGTCATCGCTGTGACCACCTGCATTCCCACCGTCACCTACTCGACCATCACCGGCCCCGCTGGCACTCCCACCGGTGTCTCCCCCGGCAAGAGCTCTTCCGTCCCCGTGATCGGAACCCCTGCCCCCAGCGGCGGTGCTACGTAAGTTTTCCTTCACTTCCAAACCTGAAGACAACCACCAACTAACCACGCTCCCAGCCCCTCTTCTTCCGGCCCTAACCCTCTCTTCACCGGTGCTGCCAACACCCTCGGCCAGTCCTTCGGTCTTGCCGGTGCCGCCGCTGCTGCCGCTTTCTTCCTTGCCTAAATTCCCTTCTTGTCCATAGTGTAGCCCCGATTCACTCGTGAGTCCGGCTCCGCTGCAGGCGGGGGAATCTAGTAATGGACGTTCTATGTGAATGATACCAGAGTTGGACGGGGTTTGTCTTTAGTTTTGGGTGTGATTTGGGGGAGAGTTAATACCATTTGACTTCATATGCTTCATATTTCACATATTATTTATACCTCATTTTTCTTTTTTTCTGTATTACTCTTCTTGGCTTGGCTTCTGGACTGCTTCGAAGATATGGAGCAGTTTGGTCGCTGTTTACGATTTAATGTAAACCATGACGCTTTGACAACTTTTTATCACTTAAAGTACCCTCGATTACTGTAGCCACAAACTCGAGCAATCCCAGTGCAACCCCTACGACAGTATACTCAGTTTCCAGAATCCTCAATCCTCATTCTATACAAACCCCAGTATCCCAGACCCCAAACCCTCCGCCTACGCGAGATCGCCAAACCAACAGGAGTACCCAACCTTCCCCAGATTCGCTTCAGCCCCCAATCAGCCTCTCGACCGCTGCGTCTCATTACACATGCCAAGGACCCGCCTGTCGCAGATCGGAATCTACCAGGGATGAGATGAGATGTCGGTTTCCGATTCCAATCTGGGGGCGCAGGTTTCGAGTTGATTACTGTGGGAAGTGGCCTCCGACATGACACATTATATTATTTTTTTTTTTCTTTCTTCTTTTCTTTTTGAAGGGATTGGGAAGGTACCTGGCAATGAGTTATGGGAGATGTTGGAAAATAAGTGCACTGATTGACACGGGATGAATTAGTATTACCTATATAGGGAATTGTATTTTGGTAGGTAGTACCAAGGTAAGGTCCATGAATCTGTACTACTCTAACGAGAGGTATGGAGCACTAGGTAGTGTGTAGTGGTTTTTCGGGATATTGCCGAATCACAATATACCGGGTTCGATATCAACATGAAACAAGACAAAAAAAAAAGCAAAGTAAATGGATATGTATAATTAGATATCATTGTTGCATAGTACTAACCCATGTCCAATAATGCATGGAGTAATATCCCTCGAACGCACCAATGCACGATCATGGCGCGATCAGAGGGCCAAGTGAGGCAGTCGAATCGACGCGCGGCGTGCGTGCTCGCTCGGGTTCCCACTCGACGGTCACTAGTGATAATAATAATAGGTACCAGACCAGGATTATACTATACTATAAAACTGTGCTAATGGGTGTATGTCCATACTTATGTGGTCTTACCACTCATGGATGTTTAATATGCGTAACTAGCATGTCTACACCCGTGATGGTCGAGTTGGATATGGCGTCCGGCTGTGACGGAATAATACTTTGTCACTGGAGGGTCGCCGGGACGACGTTTTTGTTGAGGTTGCTGGGTGCTGTAGTTAGTGGTCATGACTTAACTATACAAAGTGTGGTTTACAAAGTGTAGTTGGGTCGAATCTACGGTCAAGCCGCTAGTTTCAAACTTTTTGCATCCCCCGTTCTGTGTACATGCACACAGTACATAACATACCCAGTTCTATTTACGCGTTGTACATTCTTATGCCGTGGAACTGCCAGCCTTACGGGCCAAGGCGGGAGGGAGAAATAAAGGAAGGTGAGAAAAAGGAAAAAAAAAAAAATCGAGTCTGTCTGGATATACCTCAGCGCATTATCTACTGCCAGCGACATACTGTGTACATTCTAGAAGGTCACGGAAGGAGATCAAGAGTGATCTTCGTGGTCTCGCTAAAGATTTCCTGTTGCAAATACACTGCCCGATCTAGAGAATTTTAGTGCCCCGATTTGGTGGACTACTGCGTATATGTATGGGGAATGCGCCGTCTTGTTGGTATCCAAGTGCAGATATGCCTTCTATCGCAACCGGTTGAGATCTAACCGAGAAAGACCAATAATCATAATAAATGAATCAAGAGGGGGGAGAACTAGTTAACTAGTAGAATTATTTTAAGTAATATCTGCGGTAATCCGGCAGCGAACCATGGATGATGAGGCATGGCGCGGCGATGACAAAGAGCGGCCGTGGCAGTGTTTGATGTTCGTTTGGTCGCCCCAAGGCTTTGCTCTTCCCTCTCCTGCTGACCGACTGAAAGAAGCTAACTAACTAATTTCCACCCGATATTCTCTAGGCTATGGGATGTTTCCACTTGGACCCTTCCCTCCTCTTGGAGGTGCTTTTCTTTGCTCGGCGCGGAGAAAAGGGACGTGGTGGCGATAATTGAACCCTCCCAACTTAATCCAATTCCCCCCATTTTTTCCAGGGACTGGCTTTGATCCGTTTCTTTTTGGATCATTCTTACTGGCCAGCGTATATTTTTTGTTTACTTGCCGGAGTATACCGAATCCTCGGCATGAAACTCGACCCCAAATCCCTATCCGCGCTACTAAGTCAGTTTGGGTATTTTGTAGAATCCTGCAGGGCATAATCAAAGGGCAGGGGACGCCTTCTGCGGTGTCAACTGTACTTTTCCCAGTCTGACATGTTTGATCGACCACTGGAAGAGAAGCCCCGAGATGGAGAATCGGCATCTAGGGTGCCTTAGCCTGAGGGCCCCCATCACCAGATCCCGAGGAGAGGGCTGAATCCACTTATGGATCCTGGATGCATGGGGCGGCGCAGAAGTGTTGGTTTAGTTGTGCTGTTCTCTCTGTTGGACGAAGCCCGCAAAGGACTCGAAGCTGCATAAAGCACCGCCTCAACGCATTGTCCGACGTTGGACCAGGTGTGACCATATAAGTTGAATAGGGCAACCTGTCTCGCAGGGGTCTGCTTGATTGAACCTAAATGCTTTCTTGAACGTCTTCTGTTGCCAAATACGCATTTTGTGTGTGGCGATCCACTTGGCCCTTCCGTTAATCGTCGTATTCATCGCTTTTTTTGGAATCTTGCCTCCACGACTTCGTACTCGGCCGTGCCACTTGTCCTAGGCAGGGGCCCGGGTATGATCTAGTATAATAATATAGTTACGAAAGCGGCCAGTCCTTACTCCTCGATCTTTTTGTTCCTTTCGCCTGTTACCGTTCCCCAGATCGACAACGGCTTATGCTCACCCTCGCCGTCCAAATGGACCAAATAGACCTGTCGTCCTTAGAAGGCCCGCCTGTCATTCACCGGCCTCATTCCACGAATCCTTACTCGGGCGTACCCAGTATACAGTTAGATTATTCAGCATTACCACTGGAAGCATTCGATGGCCTGCCAAGCCATCCTCCACGGCCAGCCTCCGCTGAGCCGGTGCCGTCGTCCCGACAGAAGTCGCCTAGTATAGCACCTGGCGTGAACTGGCACCGTCGTGAACGAGGCAATATGCAGCATCCAGCAAACTTAACACCCGGGAATGGCATTCGCCAAGGTGCCTCTGAACGAAGAATCGATTGCTCCACTGCGCGCCGCCCCATCTCTCATCCGGGCCACTCCTCTCCTCTGGGCCTATTCAACCCGCATCCTAGAGTAGAAAGGCCTATTCGCGTGCAAAGCGCCTCGCCATCCCACCAACTTATCTGGCTCGATGAACAAAATATCTGGGTGCGAGCAGAGATCACCATCTCAACGAATTTCCCTGGCCAAGTGCCCACACTGACTCACTCTCGCTCGATGGACACATACTTGACGAATAATGGCGAGCGGGACGCAGACATCCCCTCCTCTCCGCCACCCCCATATGAACAGCATGTATTCGATCAGCTGATAGCGTCGCGGCGGGTGAGCCGGGGAGAGCCTTCGTCGCGAATGGCCGCGCACGATTCAATGTGGACGGCCGTGGCGGGCCGGAGGGCACATCGGGCCCCTTTTGGCAACTGAGCAGCATTATATACGCTCCAACAGACGTTTCGAACTCTAAGCCACCAGTGTCGGCTCACCGCATCACGGCTTATATCGACGAGCGTCAGTCAGTTTGCAATAATTCCCTGGCCCTGCGAACAAGGGATTTAGCAGCTGGGATGACAGAGATTGCGCTTATATCAGGGGTACTGACGGCGCATTCCTGCTTGTTAGTGATTTCACCTGGCTTGGCTCACAACGAAGCTTTGCTAGCGACAAATATCTTCGTCACTACCTCTGTCAATCACCTGAAGACAGCTCTTGCCATACTCAAGAGGCAGAGTGAGTCTTATATGCAGACGGCGATCGCCCGACCTTGACTGTGACGAAGAGGGCCCGTTCTGTGCCAAGATAAAGTTTACGGAACGTTGTATATACTACGCTTGTACTATAATCGACCGCACCGCCCCATTCATACTTACACGGGGGTTTTACTTTATTCACTGACCTGGCGAACAAGTGAGTCGACAGTGGACCAGATGGCACGCGACTACCACGTGGCGATCATTGCGTTCCGGCCCGCCAGTTCTCTGTCCCAACAGGTTGTAGATTGGGAACCGAAAAGGCGGATCTGCAAGATGACCAAGGGACGAGACAGGAAAAGAGGCGGGCGAGTCGCCTAGAAATTTGCCTGCAACGTCAGAAGGCGTCGGGAGAAGTGGACCTCAGGTTAACGCGAGACGAGTAACACTCGAGGCCACACTGGAAAACCGAGGGGGTGGGCCGCATTTGGCTGGCACGGCTGATCGGGGAAGAAGTCGGCGGTACTTCGTGTGTAAAACAAAAACCGTACTGAGTACGGAGTATAGGGAAGATAGTTTGCTATGGAAACGACCAAGCGTCATGCATAGGATTTGGTGTTATAATTGGTTTCTGGCGTACGGATTGGCGGAGTGGATCTGATCCTAGTTGTTGGCGGCTCGGGGATAATAATCATTCTTCCCTCTCTGGTCTCGTTTTTGTTGGATTAGGTAGCCATGAGAGGATCCTTTTTCTGTTTTAGTGCCTGCCGGGCAGAAGATCGTAAAGGATTGACTGGACTGGACTCAAGAGGAGCGACCGTTACTGGCGATGCAGTCGTGAGACGTTTCTTTTCGACAGGCGAACGATCGATGGGATTCGACGACAAGCTGCACGCTAGGCGGAGTTCGTCACCTTCGATCACCAGCCTCCATGATTTTTTTTCCCAAGTGGAGGGAGAGGAATCCCCAAATAAATAAGTCTACACTAAGGGAAAAGATATTACTACCTATATAGTTGAATTGATCACTCGAGCAATCGCCAGCCTCACTTTTCGCACCTTTTCCTTCTTCTCTCAACTCCTCGACCATTGTCCAGTTGAACCCAACGACCATTTCTCTCCTCTCCGACGAGACACCAACATACGAGAATATTATGACTGCGCCATTGTCATCATGACCGAACTCTTTGTCTAGACTTGGGTTGATTTCTTTGTCAAAATCGGGTTGTGTGATTCAGCGGGTATTGATCGTTTTCTTGTGAATCTTCTTGCGACCGAGATTCTTTTTATATACTGTTTGTTTTGCTTTTTTAATTTTTTTTTTTTTTTTTTCTTTTTTTTTTTTTTTTCTTTCTCTCGCTTTCTTCCGCCCCGGAAGAAAGAGAAAAAGAAAAAAAAAGAATTGATATCAAACTCTGAACTTCCACCGCCTTCGTTGCAATTCGATCGGCCACGACCAATCAGAGCGATGGTTCTTCCGCAACTTTTCTCTCGTCACAAATCGAAGAGATCCAAATCCAAGCAAATTCAGCATCCGGATCTCTCAACTCTGACTCCGAATCCGACACCGGTCTCTTCTTCTTCTTCTTCTCCTCCTCCGCCACCTCCTAGAGTCTCTCCGTCGTCGCCTCCAGCCTCTTCTTCTCCCCGTCATTCTTATAGTACCCGGAAAAACCCTCCACCCCCTCCACCGTACCAACCCACTGCTGCGGCGACTGCTCCTCCTCAACCGAATCTTCCACGCAAATCCTCGACTCGTCCGGCCCACAGTCGGTCGTCGTCCACTCCTTCACACTCCAAATCCTGTCACCGTCCAACACATTCCTCTGCTACGGCTAAGGGCAGTTTCTCTTCTTCCGCTTCACGCCCTACTTTCTCCCGTGCTTCGACCGTTCACCGGTTCAAGAAGCACGATCCCGATCTTCATCCGTTAAATCTTCCCCCCGACGAGCTACGTCGCCTATCAGCCATGGCTGCTGCTGCTGACCGGAGCTCGATGGACATCGACAGCAATGACCCTCGTCTGTCGTCGTCCGCTAACGGTGTGAACGGAACGCATACCGAAAAGAGCCCTACCCCCCTCCTCATAGATCAAATGGAACGACCGCTGAAGCGGATTCCTTTAAGTTGGCGGGAAATAAGTTCTTCAAGGACCGTAATTATGCTCGGGCTATTGAAGAGTTCAGCAAAGGTGAGCGCTCTTCTGCGACGGTCTCATTGTTACTTCTGCTGACAAACTTTTAGCCGTTGAGATTAACCCTAATTCTTCCGTGTACCTGTCCAACCGGGCGGCGGCGCACATGGCCGCCCATCAGTATATAAATGCTCTCGAAGACTGCGAACGGGCTCTTGAGCTTGATCCGTCCAACGCTAAGATTCAGTATCGTCTGGCCCGTATCCTCACTAGCCTGGGCCGCCCTTCAGAGGCACTTAATGTCCTCTCTCGCACGGACCCTCCCGCCTCGGCGACCGACCGTGCGCCTGCTGAGAAGATGATTCGTTTCGTGACACAAGCGGAAGAGACCCTGGCTCAGGAACGGGGAGTGTCGATGGCTCTGTTCTGTCTGGACCAGGCGAGAGCGCTCCTGGGCAATGGCGTTAAGGAGCCCCGCAAGTGGACCTTGATGACTGCGGAAGCACAGCTGAAGATGGCAAACGAGAATTCGTTTGCAAAGGCACAGGATATTGCCATGAACATGCTTCGACAAAACAACCAAGATCCTGATGCTCTGATGATCCGTGCCCGTGCATTTTACGGTCTGGGAGAGACGGAACAGGCGCTGAAAACTCTTAAAATCTGTATCAGCTTGGATCCTGATATGAAGTCGGCTATCAAACTACTTCGTACCGTTCAGAAGTTGATGCGCACGAAGGAGGAGGGTAATAATGCCTTCAAGGCCAAGGATTACCGCAAGGCTATCGACCTCTGGTCGCAGGCTTTGGAGGTAGACCCGACCAACAAGGACATGAACGCAAAGATCCTACAGAATCGTGCCCAGGCACACATCAACCTGAAGGAATACGATAACGCAGTCAACGACTGCACGGAGGCCCTGCGGTTGGATCCGTCGTATGTCAAGGCACAGAAGATACGTGCCAAGGCCCACGGCGGTGCTGGCAACTGGGAAGAAGCAGTGCGCGATTACAAGGCCGTGGCAGAATCCAACCCCACCGAAAAGGGTATCCAGGAAGAGATTCGCAAGGCCGAATTTGAGCTCAAGAAGGCCCAGCGGAAGGATTACTACAAGATCTTGGGTGTGTCGAAGGATGCTTCCGACCATGAGATCAAGAAGCCTACCGCAAGCTGGCCATCCAGTACCACCCGGATAAGAACCGTGATGATCCTCAAGGTGATGAGAAGTTCAAGGAGATCGGAGAGGCTTATGAGACCCTGATCGATTCCCAGTATGTCCCCTTCTGTCTTT